AAAGAGTGGAATATTAAACTGCTCTTATGATTTCATTAGAGAAATTAAAGTCGTTATAAATGTACTGCATAATTTGGACCCATTTTTAAACTTTATTTGGCATGGGGAGATTTTTATTAAAATTATTTCAGAAAGACTTTTTCTGATTCCTTCACTTTCATGTGAACCATTGGTCGATGTGTCTGGAAACACTGGCAGAAACCAGCTAAGTTAGAGAAACCTGAATTGCAGCTTTCTAGAATCAGTGAGGGAAAGAAACACAGACAAAGGTGCTTGTGTTAGCAGTTATTTACTTTAGTAAATGATGTTGGTAACATGAGTCTTGACAGAAAAGCACTAGTGAACCATCAAGGATTGCTTCCCCATGCAGGAGCCATCAAGCCCAGGTTCAATATTTCTGTCAACATCTAAACCCCAAATATTAATTCCTTAAACATCTGTGTAATTCTTTTCTTTTGCTGAGCCATCTGAACTCTTATGAACTAAAATAATCTTTCTCTTCTCTTAAATGTACCCAGAACTACTTGTTTCTAGAACTGAGATGCTTGTTACTCAGCCTGCACCTTGGTAATGAAAATGCTTACCCTGTCAAACAGGCTCTGGAGTAACAGTCATAGTGTGTTGCATTTTTCTTAATTTTTAGTGTCATGGTTTGTTGCAGTGACCAGCAGTTCAGGAAATGTAGGTCTAATTTCAGCCCCTGTCTTGTAGCTAAATTAAGTGGGAAGAGAAACTCCTTGGGGGACCTGTTATTAACTTCCTTTTGGAATTAATTATTCTAGGAGCAGTGGGACTTCCTTGGCACAGAAAAAAAGAGGAAAACTCTTCATGGCTAGGTCCCACTCTAGAAGTGGTATCTGGCTTCCAGCACCCCTGCGCAGCTGCCCTTCAGAAATCCATGTTGCCAGTTCATTACTGGACCCAGTCTAAAACCTGGGCGTTGGGTTGGTTGTTTTGGGTTTTTTTTTGGTTACTTGTGCAGGTATTGAGTGGACTGGGAGGTGTGCAGCTCCAACACAAGGGAAGGAGGTGGGGGCTATATTGAACTGTTAAAATTGAACTGTCAGACTTCTGTAGTTTAAGCTGGTTGTTAAAAACTACTTAGATTATCCTTCCTTGAGAAGCAAGACTGAATTGATAGAAAAGCATCAGAGAGAAAGAAGATACTTTAGTAGGCATGAATGAAGTGTTTGTGCAAAGGCATTAGCCTGGGCTGAAAGAGAAGGGCTGAAAGACCACAATGCAGACATCTTCACTGCATGGTTTACTCCAGCTTGGGATTCATAGGCTCAATGTGCCTTTGTATCCTCCGCTGCAACAGGACCTTCTCTTTGATTTTGTGGAACATCATATCCACAGTTTTCTGACTTTTGGTTTCTTCTCTCCAAGATTATTATAGTCCTGCAATGTTGGGCCTGAAAACTGATCAGGAAGTCCTTGGAGAACTTGTGAAAATGAAAGTCCCAGCTGTGGCAGAGCTGATGGAACGACATGGTGTCATGTGGACCCTAGTGGTGTCACGCTGGTTTATATGCTTGTTCATTGACATTCTTCCAGTAGAGGTAACTGGTAACAAAGTTCTCTTTAATAGACACACATAATCATTATTTCAGTTGTGATGCTTTAGTCATAATCACCTACTGGAAAGCAAGAAGCTGTAATCTGCCTTCTCCCCTTTCTTGCAGACTGTGCTCCGAATATGGGATTGTTTGTTCTATGAAGGCTCAAAGATCATCTTCCGGGTGGCCTTAACATTAATTAAGCAACACCAAGCTTTTATTTTGGAAGCCACAAATTTCCCTGACATTTGTGATAAATTTAAGCAGATCACCAAAGGGACATTGGTAACGGAGTGTCACAGCTTTATGCAGGTAAAGTCTCTGCAGCTTTTAGTTGTTACAAATCAAAAACAAGACCAACTTGGAAACATTTTACTTGGTCAAAAGGTGGATAGAGTTAGAAGAAATGTCTCTATATGACTTGCCAAAAGGATGAAGGATGTTTTTTATTTGAGACATGCAAACCTTTTAAAGATTTTTTTAAAAAGAATTATGATCTAAACCCCTCTATAGGAAGCCACTCATGTTATCTGTTGTATAGCGAAAAATACTTTTTACCCTTTTTACCAGTTAAGGCAGGAAGTCTGACCAGACAAGAACTTTAGTGCATTCTTTCAGTGAACTATGAATTGTGTTCCTGTGCTTTTTTTCAGATTAATTGTAAGAGTCTTACAGAATAGATACAAAGTGAATTTTAAACTTGCACGGAATAAATCTTCATAGAGCCAGAATATAAAGCGTTCTTCTAGGAACAAAAAGGTAGCACCAAGTCCTTATCTCCAGACAAAAAAAACCATGGAGTGCTCAAGTCTTATGACAATCTGCAATAATTTATTCTTATAAATTATGAATAGTTTGGAGGCTTGATCTGTATAGAACATTAGATTTGGTGCTTAGCTCAGAAGATAGAGATGCAGATGTTAGTTGCAAGAAAAAATAACAGGAGGAGCAGAACAGGAGGAACATAAATCACTTGGCCAATTCTTCTAACATGGTTTACTTGGTGTGCACAAAACTACATCCCAACAGGTGACTTTTACCCCTAGGAGAGTTTCATGCTTCTGTCAGAGCTCTGTACATAAGTCTGTTAAAAGTAGAATGTCATTCACCTTACATTTCATTTTTGCTCATATAGAAGCAAAAATCAGCTTAACTTAGTAGTGGTTTTGAGCCTTTTAACTAGAAGAGCAAAAGAGAAATTAGTCACAAGTACAGCTTATTTTAGAAGGGAGATGTTTGAGGGTTTCCCATTCCATGAAGGGTTTAGAATAAGGGGTTTATTAAATGTTCAGAGACTGATACAAACACTTGTCCTTGAAAGACACTCCCTTTAATTACACTACATTTTACAGCAGTTCCTTTTAGAAAATCTACCTTTTTCTTGCAGCTACCCCAAATAAATCAGTTAAAATAAACTGTGTTGGCTACTGTAGTGAAGGGGATGTCAAGGTAATTAAATAAACAATTTAGGTTAGGTTCTTATGTAACTTTGAAACACATACTTTTGGGTTTGGGCTTGTTTTTTTTCAGCAGTGCAGATGCTACAGTCAGTAGAGGTGACAACAGTTGAGTATTTTATGCGTCGCTCCCCTGGAAAAACACCTTAATTTTCAGTTAAATGCACAGCAGCCTTCTTTACCAGAATGCTGTTCAGAACTGGCTCATTTATCATCTTGTCTCCAGAGCTGTCAGTTACAACTACAAAGAACTGAGGAACCCACACAACTTAACTGTAGATGAGACTGCATAAACCTGGAGCTTCCTGCACAGTTTTGTTCAGTCAAAAAATTTAGACAAAGTAGTGGAAACAAATGTATTGTTCTTGAGCACAAAGTTAAAAATATATTGCAGCAATGTATGACAGCATTTGAAATGTTCCAGTTCTTACATCCATATACATTACTTCCCTGGGAAGCCCACTAGAGAAGAGCAGCAAAGGTTGTATAGTGAGGGATTAAGACTGATTTTTTTTGCAGTAGGAACATATTGTTGTATGTATGTGTTTTAGAGCCTGAAAAAACAGTGCTGGTCTCTCCTGAGAAATGCACTGGTGCTTTGTAACATTACCCAGGATGGCTTAGTATGTTATAAATAGGCCTGCCATCCACCAACAAAAATGCCTTCTAAAATAATTTTAACTGGACACACACTCAAACTAGCTTTGGTAGTGTTGCTTTTATGTAACTTAAGAGCACTTGTTCTGAGCTGCAGGTTTACCATGTCTTTACAGCAGAGGAGATGAAGATGCTGCCCACTTAGAAGGAAGCCAAACAGCAGTAAGCATTTTCACAGCATGGGTGTCAAAGCAAGGATTTCATTCTTCAGGGAATTCTGTGAGAATTCCAGCATGCTGTCCCAGTCCAGAAATTTAACAATTTTCTCCTTTTGCCCCCAGAAAATATTCACAGACCCTGGAAGTTTGTCCATGGCCACAATCAACAAACTCCGAGAGACTTGCAGAGAGAAGTTGCTTTCTCAGGGATAACTCACCAGATTTAAGCAGGTGGTCAGATACTACAGCAATTGACACATTCCTCTATTTGCACTGACTTAAGCACACTTTAAGTTTTCCATGAGTTAACTGACACTTGACCAATTTTTCCTGCCTTTCAAGTAAGTGTTGTTAACACTTTGTACTGTATATGTCAGACTTGATAACTGGAACTGATGGTTCTGTTCTTGTTGTTTGCTGTTGTTTTTGTAAGTATTAAAGTGTTTCCAGAGTAGAATGTGCTCAGTGTCAGAACACTCCTTTTAAAAACATCACCATCCTTGTCTTTTCAGGGCATTTTGTAATGTTAAAAGAAAACAGGTGTATAAAATTACATATCCTTCCTACTCTATTAACTGTGACACCACTGTCATTTGTACAAAATAAATTAATTTAATTTGTCAGAACCTGTTTCTTGGTGTGAAGAAAGCAAAACATCTGATCCCTTTCCCAACTGCCACAAATTGGCAGCCTTTTTCCTTGCTGCTGGCCCTTCAGAAACTCAATAGATATGGCAAAATGCAGGACAGCAGTGAGAAGGGTGATCTTGATTGTTACCAGCAGTGACTTTAAGCAGTGCCTAACAGCTCCTCAGGTTAAGGCAGCAGGGGCCATGTTGCCAAGTCCAGGCTACAGAACACAGCAGGAAAACTCCCTCTAACTACTCTTAACATGTTATATGCCTTTTCAGCGTTTTCTAGCTCTAGCACAGTAGGTAAGAGGTAATTTGACTCCAATCTGGAAGTTGCTGCAAAAGAGGCTTGTGCTAGTGTACCGAGGTTGCATTTAGAGGTGCTACATCCTCAAATATTTTGGGAGAGCCACTTTTAACACTCGCCACAAGCAGATTTCTTCCTTGACAGGCAAGACATCGGGCAGTTCCAAACCCGCAGCTTAATGCCAGTCCAGCTATCCCAACCCTGGGGAGAAAGCAGCAAAGCAGGAGCCCTCGCTCCGCACTTCCAGCCCGGCTGGGGCCGAGTACCTGCGACTTCCTTTACTGTCCTTACAGAGCCCCCTCGTGGCCAAATCCTTCCCGTCTCCTTCCTCTTAGGGAAGACAGAAGGCCAGCAATTAGTGCTTTTTATTCTTTCTGTTGAACAGCTACTGTGGAATGCTTTACCTTTTAACACCACACTCCTCTTCAGGCTCTACTCGGAGCTATATCTTCATTCCTTGTCATGGACGGCTTTTTTTTTTTTTTTTCCTTCTCCCTGCAGCTTGTGCATCTATCCACTCTTCTGCGCTTGCTCCAGTATGATTCCATGTTATCCTGTCCTTTATGGTGAGAGGCAGGCACCTTTCTCCTTGCATACTGAATTGTAAGGACATTAACAGTACCAGACTTCACAGAATCACAGACTTGTCACAGTTGGAAAAGACCTCTAAGATGACTAAGTCCAAGTGTTAACCCAGGAAAAAACCCAACACCCTGTCCAGTGGAGCATGTAGATGTGCCACATCTACACACTTTTTAATACTTCCAGGGATGGTGACTCCACCACCTCCCTGGCCAGCCCATTCCAGTCCCTGACTACTCTTTTGGTAAAAAAGTTGTTCCTAGTATCTAGTGTAAACCTTCCCTGGCACAACTTCAGGCCATTTCCTCTAGTGTTATCATCATTTACTTGAGAGAGGAGGCCAACACCCACCTCCCTACAACAGCCTGTCAGGTAGTTGTAGAGAGCAACTCCAGTAGGTTATTAGAAAATACTACTTTATTCACCACTGGCAAAATCCATGGTTTCCAGGTACCACCTTCAAGGTGGCAGGGCAAATGGTCCAAAGTATTCCAGCCTTGCTGCTGCGTGTTCAGTTGTCTCTGTCAGAAGAACAGTGTTCTGTGCAACATTGCCTTGGTTCCTGCCCTGTGTACTGTTAAGACCAAAACATGACTGCAGGAGGAAGTCAGGGAAGCTATAAACACTTCCCAAGGACCTGACAACACACATAGACATACATTGCCAATGGTGTGGTAAGAATCAAACTTCAAAATAAAACCTAAAACATCATTTACACACTCCTCATAATCGAGTACAGAACGGGATGCTCAGCAGGGCAGACCAGTGTACTGACATTCCTCAGCAAGCAGCAATTTGATGGAAGAATTAACTTCTCCAGCTCTCAGGCTACTGATACACAGAAGCTTTACCAGTTTCCAATCACAACATCTAGCACAAGGGACTGCTCCCCAGACACATAGACAGTTACATCTCACCTTTGTGCCCCAGAGAAAAGTTAAATGCTTTTTTAACACAACTCCACACTAAGGATTGTGTAAAGGTTGCAAAGTACGACTTTGGCACTTACCAAAAGGACAGGTGTTTTTAAGAATGATAAGCAACATGAAGATATACAGAAAAAAATTGTCTTTATTAGCATTGTTACAGGCAATGCATACATAAGAACTGATCCTTAAAGTGTACAACCCCCCAGCCAAGTTTAAAGCAAGAGAATCAGCAGATTGAGATCTATATTGTACACATGTGCAGTAACAGGATCTCTCTGGACCTTCCAACAGAAGAGACTGAAAACACTTTACAAAAAAAAGGTAAATAAAAATAACACCCATTTTAAAAAAGTACCAGCTCCTAACAAGCTGGCAGAGCATCAAAAATATCAAACAGGGGAGTTGTCCAATCATAAAGAGTTCCTGTAAGGTTTGAGTATTGCGTCTTTCACACCCTGCATATGCCAGGCATCGAGTTTAAAGCTTAGTAAAAAATACACACCTAAGAGACAAGGTGGAGTTTAGATTTTAAATTTCCATTTTGTCAGTTGTTACTAGATTTCTTTCAATGCATCACCAGTATAATTAATATCATTGCTGGATGGCAGCAGTATGAAGAATGAGCCTTTTCCCTTTGTTAAGAGTTCTGAAATTGAGTCAGTGTGAATTAGCAACATCCCTCTCTGGAATCTTTAGCTCGCACGACCATATGCCAATTCCAAAAAAGCACCCTTAAAAACGTTTAGCTTGTTTCTAAGTGGGTAAATGTTTAAACTAGTTAGCAAAATTAAACACCAGAATTTTCAGAAGTTATTTTTGTGCATAGTTAAATGCTGCAAGATGATTTCACATTTAATAAAGCAGACTTTAAAGAAGAAGCAATTTGCAAGAAAAGGTGTTCCCTTACGATATCAATCTTAGCTCAGGGGAAATGTGTGGGGTTGGTTTGGGTTTTTTCCCCAGCATCTTGCAATTGCTTTTCATCTACACTGGCTTTTAGTGCAAGTCATTAAATTGTTTGATATCCAGCATGGCTCCTCTTTCTGCCAATCAAGTAAGCAATTAAGACAATTAGAACAAGACCAGCGAGGGCTGCACCGACTATTATAGGGATCAGCATGTTATTTTCATCCAGTTGACATTCTTCCACTGAAGAAAGAGAAGAAGATCCACATTAGGCACTGGTGCACCAACAGATGGCTAGATCCACAACTCAAGCTTCCTAGTCCCAGCACATGGATAAAAAACTGGCTCAAGCCAGCATGTAGCTTAGCTTGCCAACAACCCAAAGGAAGCCAGGTCCACTAACTGTGATCATTCAGGATGAATTCTTTCTAGTATTAGTTGTATGTACAATAGAGATTTATAATATTTGCTTCCTTCTCAAGAGCTGTTACTGTTCTGCTCAAGCCCAGCTACCATACATCTACCCACAAGACTCCTCCCCTAGTCCTTTTGCATTAACCACTCACAAAGGACAGCATTAACTAGAAGAGTGAGGAATCTCCCAGAGCTTTTCCCCTTTTATACAACGGTGCACACAGACAGGAGGGAAAGCTAATGCTGTTCCTTAACTCTTCTATGGACCACAAGGAAGAAGTCCTGGGTGTTCCACAGCTTTTAAAATACTTGTTGCACTAGTCCCCAACAACATCTGTGAGAGGGCATGCAGAAACTAAGCATGGCACCCACAAGCTGACATTTGACTACAGAATACTATGATTGTATCAAAGTGCACTGCACAACTCTTAGGTGTGTGTGTGTCCCCAAATGTAAACCTCTTACCTGCCCCAAATTTGTCTCCATCAATCTTGAAAACCTGGATCTGAACATTAAATACATTGACAAGGGCTTTGTCCGTGACCTGGAGATTCTCCTCTGCACTGCACTTGTAGGAGTTACCTAGTGTAGCTCTCAGCTCACTCATGCTGTTGTTTGAGGCTTCAAACTTGGGAACTGTGAAAGAGAAAGTCTTATTACAGATCCCTGAAGATCAGGAGTTGTAAGCTCATATAGCTTAAATCTGATGCATTCATCCCCAACATTTTAAATACCTTATTTAATGCAGGCAACCTTAACATTACTAATAATAGCCTCTGAAATTAGACTTGTAAAAGTCCCTACCTTTTGCTTCAGAAGGCAGAGTTGTGCTCACATCCACACCTTGCAGGAAGAATTTTTCAGCACTTGGATTCTTAAAAAAAACAAAACCAAAACAACACACCAGTAGCTGTCATTTAAGCTAATGATGTACAACATAAACTGTTAACATTCCAGGTCAATTCTGCATCCATTTTAAGAAAGGTTTTTCAAAGGGCAGTCCACAACTGGGATTAGCATCCAAAGGAAGAGCCTAGTTGCACATTTAGAGACAAAAAACTACAGAAGGTATGCACCTTAGTGAACATTACCTTGGGGGAGGGAAGGGAAACAGAGAAAGAGGGACTATCACTCCTCAGACTGCTGCCCTGACCTCCACGCTGAAGGTCTAGTGCCCCCCGTGCCATAACCAGGCTAGTGCAATGATGCCACCTGTGCTAGAGACAAAGCTTTAAAGCAGCTCAGTACCCCGCAGAGATCTGGAGAGTCATTTAATAGCAACAGGTCTAGGTGATCATATTTGATTAGCACCATGAGTATGAAGCATGAAGCTGACAAACACAGTGGATTAAGTCCTGAAGGCTACACACCACTGGGACAGGGCTGTGGGAGACAGGATTTCCAGTCATCATAGGAATCCATAAGCAAAACAGACCTGGCTCTTGGGCTATACACAGAACATTAATGACTTAAATCCAGTTCCACACTTGATTGATTGGATGACATGACCATTTGTCACAGGCTATTCCTCTGCTACAGCAGAGGCATTTCCAGCTAGAGCAAGAAGCTTTGGAGAGTAGGCAACATGATTTTAAAATAAAATCCCACTCCAGACAAAATAGATGTCTGTCTACGTAGACATATATATTCTTTCCTCACAACAGTTAGCGAGTGTTGAACTCTCCAAATCCCAGTATTAAAGGACTTAC